TATATATATATATATATATATATATATATATATATATATATATATATATATATATATATAAAGTTGCAAATTAAAAAAATAATAATGATTTTATGAAGGTATTTATTTATTTATATATATATTTGATATTTCAGCTTATCAGACGATATGAAAAGAATTTACATAAAATAAATAGACAACACTTGTCTATATTATTTAATGAAACATGTATCAATGAAAAATGCAGCCCAAATACACACAATATATATATATATATATATATATATATATATATATATATATATATATGTATATAAAGTTGCAAATTAAAAAATAATAATGATTTTATGAAGGTATTTATTTATTTATAGATATATTTGATATTTCAGATTGGCCTCAATCTTTCTTCAGAAATAACTGTTTGTTTACAAGTAGCGTCCGTCGTGAGATGCGGACGTCACGTGATATGGTACGAATATTCGTAACGTAAATCTAACTGTAATAATATTTTAGATGTTGTTTAAAAAATTTTTTTAAAATTTAACTATATCTAAAAAAAATGTTTAACTATTGAAATATTTATAAAGATTTAAAATACCCAAGTCTTTATTTAACCCTAGTTTATATGTATTCAATTTTAAAATCCAGTATTTTTCTTTCTTTTTTTTTTTTGCGTGTGTATGTGGAACTAAAATCAGAATCTATCAATAAACATTTACAGTTTTCTAATGAGTGTCTTGATTATATATATATATATATATATATATATATATATATTTCGATAAACGTGCAATCAATTTACAAATTCATGAATTATTCACACAAAAACAAATGCAAAGGTTAATGATTTAATTGGCGAGAAATCCATCGTCGCAAACAATTCAAATAATATACAAAAACCTCCGGATCCGTTATGAATGAAAAGATCCTTGTTTCTATAAATATCTGCCGCATTAGTTCTTATTTTTACTACAAGCTTTCGTCTGTTTCTACAGACATCTTCAGGTATGGAATAGATGTTGTTCTTGTTTTTTCTCTTAGTAATAAGAGGACAACGAAAATATATGTATTGTTGTATCCGAAAATGCTATTGGAAATGAGTTATTGTTTTTGGAGCGCGCAGTAGCAACGCTGAGTTTGATTTTAAATTTTTTACAGTTGTGCGTTCATGTACAAATATGGTGATAAACGAATTTTTTACTGGTAAATTTTCTGTCAAAGTGGCATGAACTATATTGTTCAATAATTACAGTTATAAATTTCTGAAGATGTCTGTAGGAACAGACGAAAGCTTGTAGTAAAAATAAGAACTAATGCGGCAGAAATTTATAGAAACAAGGATCTTTTCATTCATAACGGATTCGGAGGTTTTTGTATATTATTTAAATTGTTTGCGACGATGGATTTTCTCGCCAATTTAACCTTTGCATTTGTTTTGTGTGAATAATTCATGAATATATATATATATATATATATATATATATATATATATATATATATATATATATTTCGCTGAATATAATAAAGAAGTCAATTTTAATTAATATTTCATTTAGTTTTTCCAGCATTCTTTTTTTTTTTTTTTTCGTTTGGTGTTTGTAAGTGAGTACAATAATAATAAATTTCCGTATTTTTCATTGTATTACATGTTTTTATGGCAGATATATGGCGCTTAATTATTCTTTCCGTAACGAATTTGTCCTGCTTATAATTCTTGTGCATCTGGTTATGCAGTAAAATATATTGATGTTTTGTGGCGTGGTATTTTTATTTTTATTACTGGTGTCATTTACTTTTTGTAAGAATCTTGATTTCGGTTTTCCTTTGGATGTGATCATAACCAAGTTGAAGGTGGCAAATTGGGCTAATATTCAAGAATTCTATTTGCTGGTCGGTGAGTTCGTAATTGGACAAGTCTAAGAATTTACATTTGCATTTCGGTACTACAATCTTTCCATTGTATCAGTTACAGAGTTTGTTTTTTTTTTAGCGATGATTGTTGGCTGTGTTCTAACGTACTCTTGAGGTGGTTGAGATTGCATTCAGTAGATGTGTGTTCTGTTATGCTCACTGTATTTTGGAGAATCTCCTTGTATTTTTGAATTTCAGTTTTAAGATACTGTATCTTCTCTTTTTCTATTGTTAGTTGTCGTTTCACGCGGTTTTCTCCGGAATGTGCTGGTGTTGTGCTCCTTGCCGGGTCGTGTAGTTAAATTAATGTATATTTGGCCAGCAATGTTTCTTCACAATACGTTTCGAAGAATCATTAAAAACATATTTCTGCCGTAAATAGCGAAAAACATGTGAAAATTATGGTGCAATGTAAAATACGGACAATTTTTGCACTCTCTTCCTCACACGAAATGGAACAATGCTGGAAAAAAATTTTAAAATTAAATTTAATTTGTTGTATATATATATATATATATATATATATATATATATATATATATATATATGCTGCCCATATATCTATATCTATATCTATATATATATATATATATATATATATATATATAGAGAGAGAGAGAGAGAGAGAGAGAGAGAGCTAGGTAAATGAGATAATAGGTATTAGCGACCGCATACGCGTGTCCTGGCGTGTATACACTATTAAGCAAATAAATAAATTAAGAAATTTAGCCAGAGGCGTACACACGCAATAGCGATCAATGTCATTAGACAGAGCTAAGAAATATATATAAATAAATAAACATATACCTACGATTGATGTGCGACTCGTGTTTCGTTGGTTAGCCAATTCATCAGGCACGAGATATCTCGTAGGTGTATGTGTATTATTAATATATATATATATATATATATATATATATATATATATATATATATATATATATATATATCAGTTTCAGCAAAGATAAGTGACAAGGTACAGTGATTAGCTATAGTCATTTGTCATAAAATATGGAATGACATTACAATATTCAGAAAAATTATTTTACGATAAATAACAACAATTATAATTGCAGTATCATGTTAGTCATCTCTAATGAAACTTGTATAAAAGAGGAATTGATGCCCGATTCCACAATATATATATATATATATATATATATATATATATATATATATGTATACATTTGATACATCAATATTGGAAATAGAGTTTATCTAGACAGAAAATAGGAATCAACACTATATGGAGACTGTCAACATGGGCAGAACAGAAAAACACACATTAGGGAAAAAGGACACTAAAACATATGGACATGGACAGAAAAATAGATATATACGCATAAAAATAACACCATCTAATATATAAAAAAAGAAAACTCCAAACAAATATATTGGAAAAGGAAGTTATAAATGATACTGGAATCATTAAGAATATTTATTTAGAGTACCTCTACCTGTTTCACAGTTCTATGATTTTCAAAAGTTAAATTGAGATGCATAATATGTCTCGGATCTAACTGTGGTTGAAAAGACTTATTGTCTCCATGATTCCGGTCGTAAAATTTCCTTCCTTTATTTCCTGGCTCTTTAAGAAACTTCATTCTCTCTTTTTCAATCTGTTTTAGTTTCTATGTTTTCACTCATTTGGATGAACCAGAATTTGTCGAGGTTGTGATACGTTGTTTTGCAAGCCAGGCTAGAGGTAAAACATTGAAATACAGCGCGGCAAAAGGGAGAGAAAATAAAATAACTGACCTCTATCTAGTTTCGGCAGGTTGTGAAGCTATAATGAAAATTTCTGTTATGCCGCACTCCCCCCCCACCACCAAAAAAAGGAATAATGGAGATTTTGACTTTCGTCGAAATTTCGGCAATTATATAAAGAAGTTGACTACTTATCACATATCAGTTTCGTTTAGTATTTTTCCTCTAACTCCCCGACGTTCTTATAAGAAGCATTATTTTAATACTGTAAACACTGGAGGTTACTATGGAATAGATTAAAGGCTGAATACAAACATATTGAGTACATTATCTCGGTTGTAATGTCAACTGGCTTTATTTTCTGGCTCTGAAAAAACTTCAGTTAATTACTGGGTTTACAACATTTTTATCTCGGTTAGTAGCTTTGTTTATCTTTCGCCCTGGTGTTATTGAAATAATCTTTATACACTTTAACCCGGATATAAGAGAGTTGTCGGGACCGGAGAAGAAGTCTCTTATATCCGGGTTTCTCTTATATCCGGGTTTTTCTTATATCCGGGTTTGGTCTATTTTATATACATTAACACAGGCTCTAATTTGGGACCAGAGAAAATCTCTCTTATATCCTGGTTTCTCTTATATCCGGGTCTCTTATATCCGGGTTTCTCTTATATCCGGGTCTCTTATGTCCGGGTTACACTGTATATGTTTTTAATATTACAAATTTTAGAGTTTATTTTGTAATAGATTAAATGCTGAAAATAAACCTATTGTCTCCATTCTTAGGTTTGGAAAATTTTTTAGGTTTATTTACTGGTACTTTAAGAAATTTTATACAAATACAGTTTCTACATCACTTTCAGCTTCTTTTTTTTCTGACTCCCTGTCGATTTTGTCAAAACACCGGTATCGTAATACGGAAAAATCCTGTAGGTTACGTTCGTATAAATTAAGGAAATTAAGTTTACAAAAACAGACAAAGAAAAAAGACATAATTTTTTCTTTGTGTTATTTGTAAAAAAGACATAATTTTTTCTTTGTGTTTTCGTAAAATTCACAAAGTGATAAACTACAAATAAAGAAAACTTTTAAACAAAAAAAAAAGCTAATATTTTATCAAGCTGAAACGATGAACCAAAATTTACCTGATTAGTGACAAATTTCAGAGGCATCAGTTATTCCGCCTTTTACAGAAACATTTGTGGCGATCCGTTTTCAGGATAGTTATGCTTTCAATTGAATGCAAAATGGCGGCCTTCCAGCCAGTCTTTTAAAATTCCTTTTAACTTAATTCTTGCCACTCTTGTATTTGGCTTTATACTCTTTTTACTGAAACCGTCTGCTAACATTTTTATCTCGTCTTTAAGCTTCTTACCCAGCAGGGCTATTTTGTTTTTCTATTGTCACTGGTTGTTCATATTGCAACTGGATGCTTTATTTGGCTTACCGAATGAGTCTGTTAAAGAAAAGTACTGACAAAGCGAATATCGCATCGTTTCGCTATAAAAAGCAGACTTTATAAATAAAATATGTAATGGCGAATTCATAGGTTGGATGGTTTTGACAGTATAAATTTTAAGAGTGCTATGTTATCTACTTATGGCTATAAAAAAAAACTTGGCTGGAACTAGAATAAAGTTCTTGACACAATAATAAGAATCATTCACTGTCTGTATAAATTGTGGCAGAAATGTTCACGCTATTTTTTATCTCACACAAAAACACACACACATATATTTAGATAGATAGATACTGAAATGAGATAGATAGATAGATAGATAGATAGATAGATAGACACTGAACTGATATATATATATATATATATATATATATATATATATATATATATATATATATAGATAAGATAGATAGATAGATACTGAACTGAGATAGATAGATAGATAGATAGATAGATAGAAACTGAACTGAGATAGATAGATAGATAGATAGATACTGAACTGAGATAGATAGATAGGATAGATAGATAGATAGATAGATAGATAGACACTGAACTGATATATATATATATATATATATATATATATATATATATAGATAGATAGATAGATAGATAGATAGATAGATTAGTTCCATTTCATCTTCAAGCGAATTTTGGAAAAATTCGCTTGAAGATGAAATGGAACTAATGCTTTTAATTTATTTGCAAAATAAAATTAGGGGTTTTAGCATCTATTTTTGAAACATGGTTGGAACTGTGTAGCGGAAATAACCATATTTTAAATCAATTAATTTATAATATATATATATATATATATATATATAGATAGATAGATAGATAGATAGATAGATAGATAGATAGATAGATAGATAGATACTGAACTGAGATAGATAGATAGATAGATAGATAGATAGAAACTGAACTGAGATAGATAGATAGATAGATAGATAGATAGATAGATAGATAGATAGATACTGAACTGAGATAGATAGATACATAGATAGGTAGATAGATAGATAGATAGATAGATAGATAGATAGATAGATAGATACTGAACTGAGATAGATAGATAGATAGACAGACACTGAACTGATATATATATATATGTATATATATATATAGATAGATAGATAGATAGATAGATACTGAACTGAGATAGATAGATAGATAGATAGATAGATAGATAGATAGATAGATAGATAGATAGATAGATAGATAAAATTAAAAAAATAAACACCAAAAAGTATTTCCTCAGATTTATGGAAGGGGATCAGGACAGGAGCATTTCAGCAATTATTTTATCTTATCTGATATATATATATATATATATATATATATATATATGGGGGGGGGGCACGCCTTCTCAGGATGTATAATCGTGACCAATTACAATAACCTACCTTAACACACTATTTGAATAGATGCTCTGTTTTTATTTATGTATATATTAAACAGTATATTAATTTATGTCCACCTACCGGCCTGAATATTTCGAGAAATATTGTTCGGCAGAAAGGCGCACTTTTTTCTAACAAGATTTCTCGAAAAATTCAGGCCGATAGATGGTCATAAATAAATATACTGTTTAATAAATAAATAAAAACAGAGCAACTACTCCGATATGAGTACCCAGTAAAAAAAAAATATCATTTAGACAAATAAATTAGAAATATGCCGGATTAATAAGTGAAGAATCCATTCCTATATTTCGAGAAGCGGGAAAGATCTCCGTCCAAATATATATATATATATATATATATATATATATATATATATATATATAAATATAAAATAACATAGAAGTCAACACTTAGAGGGGCGACAGTCTCGTTTTCATGCGTTTATATGCAATCGTCAGAGTCCACGTGGCCTGACGATTCCATCTAGCATGAAACAGACTGTCGCCTCTAACTGTTGACTTCTATGGTCACTTTTATATTTACACACGCTCTATCTCTGATATTGAGCACTTTATCCTATAAATATAGCACACCTTAAGACTATATTTCTTCATATATATATATATATATATATATATATATATGTGTGTGTGTGTGTGTGTGTGTGTGTGTGTGTATAAGACATTTAACTTTCATACTGTTATTTAATACTGTTTAACCATTTACTTAAAAATTTGTATCGATAAAGAGAATGTATAAACATAAAAATGTCTTAAAAATAATTGTCGGACTTTTGTCCATTTATATATTATATATATATATATATATATATATATATATATATATATATATATATATATATTCACGCTTTTGTGATCATAAGACAAACTGTTTTTTGATGACCGCAAAAAGGGTGAAACCTAGGGTCACATACTCATATCCATACAACTGAAAATTTTAGCTCTATCACTGATACTGAGTCCTTTCCACTGAGTACTGCACGTACAAAATATATATATATATATATATATATATATATATATATATGTGTGTGTGTGTGTGTGTGTGTGTGTGTGCGTGCATACATTGCTTTTTGGTTAACTTCTTCCCATAATCTTTAGGAACCTTCTAACTTTTCCCTTCGTATTACGCTTTGAAGTACAATGCTTTAAACTTAAAATCTGTCTGATGCTGAGAAAAAACTTCTCAAAAGACAATCTCTCTCTCTCTCTTTCTCTCTCTCTTTATCTCTCTCTCTCTCTCTCTCTGTTTCTATATATATATATATATATATATACTACAAAAACAATAATGCAAAAACGAATCGACCTCTGCATGGGATTTAAGAGAAATTGTTTTTTTTTTTGTTTTTTTTTGTTGGTGATGGGGACCAAAATAAGAATGGGTCGACCGGTGCGGGAAGCGCGGATATTTTTAGGAAATATGTAAGGAAAACATTTCGCCTAAGTGTATTAAGAATAGCTCATAAAACTTTGATAAAACTGAAAAATACGATTGCTGGTTGCATAAATTACATAGAAAATAAACGCCCTACTTTGCTGGTCTCCGACAGGGACAGAAGGCTGTAGTTCTATAGCTTGTCTTTTTAATTAAGGGAATGTTACACGGACCGCAAGGGAGACTTATATTTAATGTCGGAAAACAGTACAAGAAGAAAGAGAAATTATAACCAAGATGTAGTTTTTTTCAGTTCATGCAAATATACTGAATCATTTTTAATCATAAAACAGGCATCTTTTCCTGTAGACTATTACTAATGTATCATGAATTTGATCATCACTGTGTGCCTAATACTCGTGACTTTGAGCTTAAAATTAACAACAGTTATAATCATAATACCCTTCACGGCTTTTCTATGTCTCTCTCTCTCTCTCTCTCTCTCTCTCTATATATATATATATATATATATATATATATATATATATATATATTGACTCTCACGTCGGTTTTGACGTATGAGGATCTGACAGCTTACTTGATTCAGTTATGAAAGTTTGTGCGATAATCTTAAGTGGCATTTAAGACCCGCTAGTGGTTTATAAAGGAGGCCACATATGGAGCAAGTTTGAGGATTGTGAGATGAGATCACTGTTAGATTGTCTGACCTTTTAGATCTTGCTCTCGCTTCTTGCAGATGATTCAGACGAGCAGATTGAAAATTGCTGAGTCCACTAAAACACGTTGATCTCCAAGGCTAAGCGCTCAAGGGTGTTATGTGGTATATTGACGACTGACAAGTTGCTTTTCACCTTGTCTTTGTATCTTAGCCATGGGCGTCCTACATTCCTGTAGCCCTGATCTAACTGGCTGTATATATATATATATATATATATATATATATATATATATATATATATATATATATATATATGAATGTATGTATATGTGTATGTTTCATTGAATAATATAGACATATTAAGTCTGTATAGTTTATAACAATCATTTACAGTTGTCTAATGAGTTTCTTGATGTTAGGATGAAATTCATCAAGGAAGGCAGCGTAGCTTTGCAAAATGTCATTAAATTTGTGTTATATGCACTTCATCACGTTGACGCTACACTCGTAATAAATTCTGTTGAGTGTTGGTTGCTTGCTTTTAATGTAGAGGTCCTCGATAATTTAAAGTTTTCGTTATTATTTTCGTGGTGTGAAGGTGGACAGCAATGTCATATGAATGTAAATAAATATAATATATCTCTGTTATTCAATTAATTTAATATTTGGATGAAGATATGCTGCCTATATATACATATATATATATATATATATATATATATATATATAGAATGCGATTGATAAATTGTGTTGTCAATAAGTATGATTTGTATCGTGAAGGTGAACAGGAATGTGTTTTTAGATGTTGTTCAATTCTACCCAATTTACCGTCTGCTTCCTTATGTTGGGGGGATTGTTTTACAAAAATTTTCATAGCTGCAACGGATTAATTTTAATGTTTTTAATGAATATAACAGACCGTATTTACGCGTATTTTTTTAAAATCACTATCATAACGAAATGGAGATTATATCACAGTTACCCACAATTATATATATATACATATATACATATATATATATATATATATATATATATATATATATATATATATATATATGTGTGTGTGTGTGTGTGTGTGTGTGTGTGTGTGTGCGTGTGTGTGTGTGTGTATTTAGGCAGCAATCCTTCTTTCATGCACATTTCATTAAATACGACAGACAAGGTGCTTTGATTTAGTTTTTTATACAATTTCTCATGTGATCTAAGAATTTTTATTTTTATTTTCAGATGATAAATTATATAAAAACTGTCCGAATGTGCTCTTTTTACCGAGCGCTTTCGGCTATACATTTAGCCATTTTCAAGGATGAAATATTTTAAGTGTTAAATAAGAAAGAATTCAAGAAATAGCAAAAGAAAAAAAATTATTGGATCACATGGGAAATTGTATAAGAAACTAAATCAAAGCACTCTCTCTGTTTTATTCAACGTAAAGATGGAAGATTTTCAAACAACAAGAAACTTGTGCATACGAGACGCTGGAAGCGAAAATCACACCGCTGCTTTTGTCGTCACACATAACCACGCGAGAGTGAAAACGAGAAGTATTAAGTATGGGAAGCCGTTGGTATAAACCAATGCCTTCTGTTATCATTTATACGCACGAGTTTGTCGTTGATTAGAAATCTTCCATGTAAACAAAAACAGACTATCATTATTGTTTTGTCCGTGTATTGTTTAATATATTGTAATGTAATTGTCATCTTTGATAATGGCTTATGTAAGCCGAAAGCTTAGATAGGATTAAAAAAATATGTATCAATAGTGTGATTTTCTTTCTTCTTTTTATTAAGCTTATCAGACGACATGAAAAGAATTTACATAAAATAAATAGACAAAACTTGTCTATATTATTTAATGAAACATGCATCAATGAAAAATGCTTTCAAAACACACAAATACACACACACACACACACACACACACACATATATATATATATATATATATATATATATATATATATATATATATATTATTTAACACGGCATACTGCACAAATTTTTCCTAGCATCCTTCCGGTTAATTATACATTCACCATTACAATTGATTCCTCAAAAGAGAAAGTACCTAAGAGTGAGCAATTTACAAATCAAATTTTTATGATTAGTCAAGTAGTTGTCTGAATACCGATGTCAGCTAATTGCAAGGAATTTCTCGTTTTAGTCAGCATACGTGTGTGAATTATTGTACAATAAAGATTTTCTGTATAAATCGTGGCAGAAAAGTATTCAAAGATCATAGTAAACTTCTTGGGCGTTGTTTGGAAGGTGAAAAAGAAGTGGCCGAGGCTTCAGTTTGACCATAAATTGTTTTAAAACATCATTCTGACAACAACAACAACAACAAAAAAATGAAATCTATTTTCGCATATTTAAATTTCTGAAAATTACAAATGCAGTTTTAATATTGGTCTTTTCGATGTGTATTTCACTATATGTGGGTATTACGGCCATATCACGTTGAAACATCGTTTCTCGTACGATCACTGAAGTTAAGCAACGACAAGCTTGGTCAATACTTAGACGGGTGACTGCTTGGAAATACCAGGTTCTGTAAGTTTGGATGTGTGGGCGTTGAAATCAATAGAGACTCGATTCTAAAGCGGAAACTGACGAGTCGAGTTCCAATTTCCAGCCTGGTTTTTTTTATATTCGTTTACGCGAAAAGTATAAATACGCTTCTTCTCCCCAAAGCTATGGGTTGATTAGTAGGACTTGTGTCAGTAAATCATTATTATCTCGCAAAGAATTCTTACAAACTAAAAATATATTCTGGATTTAAATAACCTACAATAGATCTTACATCAACCCATCCTTAATATCGTAGGGTAAAGAGGAAAAAGTTTTTTTTTTTTTCTTAATAGTTAGCAAGTGGTATGTTAAATTTTTCTGATCAGTCAAACAGCTTACTGAATGTATCTCTCGAGTAGTAACAAGGAGTTTCTGGTTTTAGTCGTAATAATTGCGTAAATTACAATCATTTTTATTCTTTTAGAATAAAACGAAAACTATTTATACATATTTGAAGTTTTACAATTTAAAAATTCTTTTTTTGTATTGGCTTTTATTTTCATTTTTTAAAAATAAAAAAAATGTTGTTTTTTTTTTCATTTTATTCATCATATGAAAACTAGAACGATCACTCAACACAATATATACAACAAGAAAAGTAAGAACAAATATGAGAACAAGTTCATTATATTTTAAACGGGATGAAAACTCCACAGTAATGATGCTTTGACATCGCTCCACATTACTATGGGAAGGCTAATTACCTAATTTCGGTGGAATGGAGTTTTTTTTTTTAAACACAAATAGTTATCTACACTAAGTGATTTCAGTGGTTTCAAAAAGCTGTCAAATGTTTCCTTTCGTACATACGAAACTCAGCTGTAGTGGATTTTTTTGCTCAACTTGTGGTCTTCTTTCGTTATTTATAGTAACATCACGTAAGCCATAATGAGGTCAGTGATGTAAAATTCAAACAGAACTGAGGCAGAAGAGGCAAAAGTTGAATCACATCTGGCGGCAGCCTTTAGAAGATAATGAGAATATTCTGGAAACGTTAACAAAAAAGCAAAGATATTTCTTGTTTGTTAATCAACGACTGACTCTGTGCATATTTTGGGAGGAATTATTCCCGTCTTATGTTCTCGAAGAGAAGAGAGAAAGAAAAGAATGGGCGTAGTTTGAATCATTTCCTGAATCCATAACAAAAAAAAAATGACTGAAATAAACAGAAACTGATTCCGTAAGTTAGAGAGCGAGGTGTATATATATATATATTAAGAAATGGACAAGGTCCGACAATTTATTTATTAAAGACATTTTTTATGTTTAACGTTGTTATTTATAGATACAAGTATTTAAGCAAATGCTCTGTTTATGATAAACAGTATTAAATAACATTTACCGGCCTGAATGTCCGAGAAATTTTCATAGAAAATATTCGTCCTTTGACA